CATTCTCTAGATATTCAACTTTTTCATCAATTTATGTAGTCCGACATCATGAAATCAATTTCTGACAACAAATTCTATGATGTCATACTTTACCCATAATCCTTTGCTTGAGAATCAAGATGGCTGACTACTTGATACTGATGCAAAATATATAGAGAATGAAAAGCGATATAAAACTGTAAATTGCATTCTCCTGCATCTGTGGAGCTTTTTCTTAAGGGGTCATTATGTTGTTTGGCTTGATGTTTCTTTTAATGTTACATAGTACTAATTATCCCTCACAGCATGTATACATACAGAGTATCATCACAGGATGAAAAAAATACTGTTCCATAACTTGTCAATGTAACAATTATTTATGACAAGAAAGCCAGAAAACCATGGCTAGACCTCCACCCTGCAATCTATTTTGAAGAACTTTTACTTAAACTAATATATTTCTGTAAGAGCTTATATGGTACAGTAATATGAAATTGTATTGTCAAGTTCAAAATCATACACGATGGAGAGGGAAATAGATTCCACACTGTCTATTGAGAAGTGTAATCTTTGAGAAAAAAGAAGATTAGGTATATTACGGTAGAATTCTAATAACACTGTAAAAACAAAATTATTTCCAATGTCAAGATGTAAGTTAATAAAAAATGTTTTCACCAAGTTTATCTGATTCATGTTTATTACAACATGTTTATTACATTACAACAGCTGAAGGTCAATTAAAACTGTCACAGCCCCCTTTCTGTCTTGTAATCGTATATGATAGGGTCAGCTTGCTCTTTTTTAAACAAGTGTTCCAGTTCTACACTAAACTACCGGTACAGTGATTCTGATAATTATTCACACAGAGAGTTAGCAAGATGGCTTGCAACTTTGCAAAACAATTCGGTTTTTGTACAATCTAGACTTGATGGCGCTGCTCTATTGACACATGCATAGTTTACATAATTTAATTATCATACTAAATGAGGGTGAAGCACAGCTTTAGTCTCTGTTTTGGATGAAATTCGAAGTAAGTGACTATAAATTTGCATTCCCTTTGTGCATCGGAATCCATTTTTCAGACATGCTTTAACTGATTGCATTCTAACTTAACGCGAAGACCGTGTTCTTACTGTAATAGCTACATGCTATTTCAATGAATTTGCTAAATTCTGATAATTAAATGAGTTTGAAGTCATTTCTCATACATGAACAGGTCAATTTCAATTTGTATCATGAGCATGCATATTGTGTTACGGGTGCATATATTATTTTTGACTGCCATGTGCGAAGCACACAATGGAAGTCTTTGCATTTTGTGCTTCTGTGTGTGTGTGTGCTTTTCCACTGATATCTCAATCATTCAGATTTTAATGAAACTTTGTACATAGATGTCCTGCTAATTATATTAATTAGCCACTTTTAAGCATTTCCACTTTTTAGCTCCGCTGTCGACTGCAACTCAGAATGTATTCAAATTTGATATGCAAGTACCTTGGATAGTTCTTTCTCAGATTTGTTCATTTCATGTCAAAATCTCAAATTCTCTATTTTTGGTGAATATTTTTGTCATTTTGGTTAAAAGTGATATTTTCGACATCTTGTAAAAAAAACGCAAGTCCGATTACTTTGATATTACATATATAGGTACTATATGTGGACCTCTCTCAGATTTGTTCATTTCGTGATGATATCTTTAATTCTCTAATTTTGATGAATATTTTTGTCATTTTTGGTAAAAAGTGATATTTTCGACATCTTGTAAAAAATGGCAAGTC